CAAAGGAGTTGGAATTTGGTTCACAGTTTATAAACTTTACACAAATTTTGTTATGATAAACTGTTACCCACAGAGGGAGTTATCCATAAACAAAAATAATCTGGTATTTACTAATTTTACACAAGCCATTGTAAAACTTCCTTGTCTGAAGCTTTAACCAACTGGGATTTTTGTGACCCATAACCAGGGAGAGTGAACAATAATAAATTAACAATATTAGAGAAAGCAGACGACAGAAAGAGAGTTAACACTCAGTATTAACCTATATAATTAAATGAAGTTTCATTGTTTTTTACATTGCCCAAGTGATGTAGCAACCTAAATCATGGGATTTCTAATCCACCTTTGGTTGTTGTCAAATTCAGTAATTAAGAATGCAACCCATGGCAGAAAAGACATTTTTCTGTTAATTTAAAAGGTATTTACAGCTTACTATTTTTGAAACAAATTATTTACTCAAATAAATTCTCGCAATCATTTGCTGCTTCCTATGACTATTTACTGACAAATATTTCTAAATTACATAAATGTGTTAATTACCAGCAAGTAAATCTTGTTTTAAAAAGCATTGATAAGTGTGAGCAATTATCAAAATGGAGAATTCCCATTTGTGACTCTGGTTTAAACTCTAATTAGTGACTTGTAGTGATCCAATATTTTATATAAATACAAAATCTAACAATTTGCTTTCTTAAGCCTATAAGGTAAATGAGATTATAGATACCTTTACAAATACAGATTTTGTTCAGAAATTGGATTTTGTTTTAGGAGATATGCTCCTGAACACAAAATATATTTTCTGAATTACCTTAAGCATAAAGAAACACAATTATTCACTTTCAGCATTTGAGAAAAAATTATTATAAGGTTTTGCAAAATATTTGCTAATGGAAATGCAACAATTTTTATTTACCTAACCTGTTACTTCACCCTGTAGTATAGAATCAATTTTATAAAGGCAAATTTGTGATCTGCTGTGAAATTGACAGGAGGATTTAATTCAAAAAGTCAACAGATTTATAGATGTAATCTTTCCAGTTCAAACAGAATCTTGCTGGGTTTTAATTTTTCCACACAGCATTGAAATAAATAAATATTTTTAGCTTTGCTTCAAGAAGTTTAAAAGGGTTTTAAGTATTCTACAGATACAGATTTTGGAGAACACTGGATTCTTTAGAAAAAAAAATAGCTCTTTTTTGTTTTACTTCATTGTAGGAAGTCTTGAAGACTTTTTTTCTCCAAAATCTTATTTTCACCTGAAATAATTGTATTCAGGTTTTCTCAGCAGGTAAAGTATACATTCTTACAAGGTTTCAAATTTCAGAATTCCAATAATGCATTTAAACTGTGCACCCACCGAATCACCTTCTGTCCTCTTTGTGTGTGTGTCTATTCTCTTGCAGTTCTGTTATTTATATTGAATTTTAGTTTTTTAGCTCCCCAGAAATACCTTAGTGAATCCTCAGCAGTTGCTAACCACTTAATAATTGTGAACCGGCCAGCCCCTTCAAGTAGATCGTTAACCACAGAGTGCCTGACAATTTCCAAATCGTTATCCTCCGTCCAAAAGGAAAAGATAGGGCTTTGTGAGGCCGAAAGGAAGCAAAGGAAAACAAAACAAATGTAGCTCATGCTGAAAGTGAAAAGTGCTTGGACAGATTAGTATTTTCTTTTCTGCAAGGCGTCCTGCCAGACTTTTTTTTTTTTTTTTTTTTAATAGAGAAGAGTTATTTTTTGGTCTGATTTTTCAGTTTCTTGGAAAGCGTCGGTATTTACCATCCCCATCGGCCCCTCATAATTACGGTTGGTTGTTTTGTGTTTTTCCCATCCGTCCACATCATACACTGCTGATACCCCCGCCTCACTCTGTCAAAACCCCAACTCCGGGCGACCCTGGGTTTGGAAACTCCACCGACTCCCGACGACACATCCCACTCTCTCTCGCTCACGCCTCTTTTTTTAGTCGCAAGATCTCCCACTCCAGTTGCAGTGAAAGCCGGAAATTTTCTTTTAACTCCCCTCTCCTCTCCTTCTCGCCCCCCACTTGGTGCCGAGAGCTGCGGAGCTGGAAGGTTCAGAGCAAGCCGGGGCTCAGCTGCCTCCCCTCTCTCCGGAAGGCTTTAATTTGCACACTTGCTTGCCACTGCGCAGCGAGCCCCCAAGCCCGCCGCCGGGGGGGGGGGGTCTCGGGCAGAGCTGGCCTCCCGGGCCCCCGTCCCCGCTCCCGCCCCCACTGCCTCCCCGGCGCGGGCCCTGAGCCCCGGCAGGAGCCCCGCGGCCCCCTCCCGCCCCCAGCGAGCGGCGCGGGCGGCGCCCTCCGCCGTCCCTCCGCCCTCCGCTGCTGTGCCCACCCCCTCGCGGGAAAGAGTGCTGGTAACTCCTTCCTCCGAGCCGGTTACCTGCTCCGCGCCGCCGAGGACACGTGCGGTGGTCCGCCTGACGCACGCAGCCTCTTCGGGAGGCCGGACGTGGCCCGGCCCTTCAGGTGAGGAGCTGTGCGCTCCGGTGGGTGGGCTGCGGGGTGGGGGGTCCCCGGGGAAGATTTGGGGGCTTGGCCAGGGTCGGAAGCGAGAGTGTGGGTGGGGGTGACTGTGGGGGCGGGTTGTCTGTCCTCGGAATCGGTTTTGGTTAACCCCTTACGAACCGAGGCAGGGTAGTTACGGGGGCCAGTTTGGGGGAGCTAAAGGAGTTCTCCTAATGTGGCGAGAGGAGGACATCGCACACTAGGGACACCCCCAACACTGAGATCCTGTGCCTGCTCCCATATAGCCGTGCGCACAAACACCCACACAAAAACTCCTTATCCAGTTTCTTCAAACGGAATTTAAACTCCACTCGGACACTCAGTAATCCACATTTAGGGTTTAAAATGCACTGCCTCTGGGGACTCCATGCGGAAGACTGTGTTTCCGTGCCCCATATTTATTTCCTCACGAAACCTCCCTCTCCAGCTTGCTAGGTGTGGGCGTGGGCTCCACCTTCCCCACCACGAGATAAAGTTAACGCAGGCTTCCTGCTGGCAACCCCTGCGGGCGTGTTATGCACACTTAGAGGAGTGCACGCAGGCGGCCAGTGCCCAGGCTTGGAGTCCCGCAAGGATGCACATTTGCTTTAGTTTCCCAGTTTATTTTTATAATTTAAAATATGGAAGTTAAAAATGCACACCCCGCGGTGAGCAGCTCCGGACCCCGCAGCGCGCCCGTCAGTGTGCACGTGGGCGCATCTGCGTGTGTGCGCACACGCAGGAGTCGTGGTCCCCAGTGCGGCCTCTTGTCCCTGCGCTGGTGGCGACCCTTGCGGTGCTTGGCAGGCTTCGGGAGAGGCACGTGAAGGATTTCATTGAGTGTGAAGACAGAGAGCAGAGACAGAAAGCAGAAGGAGGCGGCTGCAGCCTTTGTAGTCGCGGAGGAATGCGGAAATGTTGAAGCACTATGTCAAACTTTTTTGAAATGGGGTCAAGTCACATTCAGCCAGCGTGGGAAAGCAACAACAACAACAAAAAAAAGTGGAGGGGGGGGAGGCACTGCGGCTCCCGTTTCTCTCCGCCGGAGCCGACCGTCGGGGGAGCGAGGCGGGGAGAGCCAGGGCGGGCGGTGGGGGGCCCGGCGAGGGGAGCGGGCGCAGTTCCCTGCGGGGGTGGGACGTCCGCAACGCTGCCTTCGCTGCAGAGCCTCTGGCTGGACTCGGGCGGGGAGGAGGGGACGCGGGAGGGGCGGGCTGCGCGGCCGGCGGCGGCTCCTCCGCTACCTGTGTGGCCCTCGGCCTGGCTCAGACTCCCGTGCAGGCTCTGGGGGGCTCGCTCCTCGACTCCCCCAGGAGTCGCTTTCACCTTTTAAGGAGAGTTTTGAATGGAGTGAATGTGAGGGGCTCTGTCCTCGCTGCGGTCCCTCCGCCCGCACACCGTGGGGGTCGCGCTATTTGTTTCTTTAATTCCTGGCAGAAGGCGAGCGGGCAGCAGTTGCGGGGCAGGTAATTCCGAGGTGCCCCGGGAATTCAGGACGCCCGGCCGGCGTGGTTAATGTCCCACCGAGGCTGCGGCAGCCATGGGTTGGAGGTTGCCTAGTTCCTGGATTGCAAATGAATGGGGAGAGAAAGCGTTTTCCCCCGCCCGCCGGCCCGCACTTTGTTGTGCGGAGGGCTCCGGGGGGCGACTGGCTGCAGACGAGACCAGGCCTTAAGCCGAAAGAGGAATGGAGCTGCGGCTTCTGCTACCTACATCGGAGACGGTCCTGGGAGAGGGGAAAGGTTCGCGAGTCCTGGCTCCGAGGGCGCAGCCTCTTCTCTCTCACCCCGGGGGCTCCCCCACCCCCCACCCTTTTTAAGAGAAGGTTGAGTTTTGCCCAGGTTGAAATCAGTTGAAAATTTCAGGACGAGTCACGGTTATGCTACCTTCCTCCTGAAGTTACTCTTTAAAGAGGCGACAAGCTCAAGTGTGGGGAACACCCCTTTCTCCCACCCTTAGGGTCCCGTGGGCGACTCCTCCCCTCTAGGATCCCATCGCTCTCCCACCCCTGAGTAGCAGGAGCCCCAGCCCTCCCCGACCTGAGGGGTTTCCACTAGGGAGGTCTTCCGAGTCGGAGGAATTCCGTTTCCAACCCTGCCTCCTTTACCCCCAAAAGACCACTTGTGTGTGCAAGTCTTTTTTAAATGTCTTCTCGTAGAAAAACTGAAAGTAGAAAGAAAGGAAGCAATTTCCCAGCAGATGTCTGACCACCCCTTCTCGCACACTCCCAGCATCGGGTTACAGGGTCCTGGGAGCCCCCACCCACATTCTGCGGCCCCACACGGGTGGACCTACAGTCCCTCCACAGCAGCTTGTGCACACCCCCTGAACGCCCCATGGCACCCCGGGAGCCCCTCTCCCTGCACGTCCAGGCCCGGGGAGGCCGGGAGGGTAGCAGCGCAACACAATGATATAGGGATAAATATTAAGCCGTGACATTGACGTGCCCGGCGCCTCCCCTCCCCCGCGCTCCCGGCACACTCTGGGCCGCTCGGCACGCCCCCTCCCGTTCCACTGCGTCCCGCGCCGCGCGCTCATCCCGGAGGGGCCCCTGCAACCTCTCCGCGCGAAGACCGCTCCAGCCCTGCAGGGAAAGAAAAGTAACTTCGCTTTTCTTGGAGGAACGAGGAAGGATTAACTGGCCTGGGAGAGGGCAGGAGCGCGCGGAGGGTAGCGATGGGGGCTTCGTGAGGGAGGAGGAGGGGAGCCTGCGGGAACCCTGAGCAAGGCGCCCGGGATGTCTGATTGCACTTTCTTCTTGTTTTCCCGTCTCCCCTTTTAGGTGGAATGATTGTGGACTGAGACGCGCTCGGGCAGAGACTATGTAATCGCCTCGGTGTCTGTGCAGAGGACTGCGCTTCGGGGAGGGAAGAGGAGGGATCGGCTCGCTCCTCGGCGACTCGGCAGGCGGAGTTTCGCCGCGGCACCAGGGTTGCGCCCGCCCGCGGGGAGGTCGCTCCATCCAGCCCCGGCGGCCGCGAGAGCCCGAGCGCCGGATCGCGGTAGTCGGCAGGGGTGAGGGAGAGCGAGACCGAGCTCCGGGGCGTGAGGGAGCGGGCGGAGGAGTCCGAGAGGAGGCGAGCGGCGGCCGCGAGCGAGCCGAGCGAGCCCCCCGCCCGCCTCAGCGGCGCCGCGCCGGGCGGCGTCCGGGCGGCATGGAGAAGGACGGCCTGAGCCGCGCCGACCAGCAGTACGAGTGCGTGGCGGAGATCGGGGAGGGCGCCTATGGGAAGGTGTTCAAGGCCCGGGATCTGAAGAACGGAGGCCGTTTCGTGGCACTGAAGCGCGTGCGGGTGCAGACGGGCGAGGAGGGCATGCCGCTTTCCACCATCCGCGAGGTGGCGGTGCTGAGGCACCTGGAGACCTTCGAGCACCCCAACGTGGTCAGGTGAGCGGGGCAGCGGCGCCCATGCCGTCGGGGGCCGCGCGCCGAGGGAGGGCCGGGCGAGGGCTCCTCGGGCCCAGGAAGGTGCTGGGCCGGAGGGCGGCTGGGGAGGCACGGCGCGACCCGCTGACCTTACAGAGTGAGAGTAAGTTTTGTCGACAGAACCACGAGCCAGAGCCGGTGACCTTGGCAAACAGCGAGCAAGTCAGACCAGTCAGAGAATGTGATCTGCGCAGGCTTCCTCACTGCTGTGCAAGTTCTAAGTGTTTTCTCCCTGAAAGGGGGTCCGGGAAGTTGGGTGCCTTTTAGGGACGGAACAAGCCAACCTGAGACACGCCCTGCCTTCCCCTGCTCATTTTCCCTGGCCGTCAGGGAGTTTTTGAGAGACTGAATATAAGTGAGAGGTAGCAGGATGCAGTGATAATTAGAAGGAAGAGAGCTTCACTGGTGGAGCCTGCTATAAATAACATTTAAAAAATGCAGAAACTTAAGAATATTTTTGCCAGTCACATCCACAGTTTCTTTATTAAAATTGCATACTGATAAGAAGGATTGCTGAAGGTCTAAGGACTTCAGTGCTGATGCCCAAAGTGTCGTTTAAAAAATTTCTTCCCGGGGCCGCCCGGTGGCGTAGTGGTTAAGTTCGAGTGCTCTGCTTCGGCGGCCGGGCTTCTCGGGCCGGATCCGGGCATGGACCTACACACCGCTCAGCAAGCCAAGCTGCGACAGCGTCCCACAAATAAAATGGAGGCAGATTGGCACAGATGTTAGCTCAGCAACAATCTTCCTCAAGCAAAAAGAGGAAGACTGGCAACAGATGTTAGCTCAGGGACAATCTTACACACAAACACAAATTTCTTCCACAAATGTTGCCTGTTTGTATTACTTTATGTCTCTGGGCCAGCATAGTCCTTAGACTACTTCTCCAAAGGGTTAAACGTGAGTCCAAGATGTGGAATCTTATATTCTGAATGTTCTGCCCTTGCCCCTCCTGGTCGGATTGTGTGAGTGGATGGGGAAACAGCAGTTCTTAAAGCTTCTCCTGTGTGGTAACCAGTAATAAACGAAAGTGTGTGTGACTTAGGATAATAGTGTTTTCTTAGTGATCCTGGAATTTCCCCATTGTGTGGTTGACATTGTGTGGTGTGTCATCCTTTTCTAAACAGAGGTGCATAGTTTTCAGTTGAAAAGGAATGCACAGAACCTTCTACAGATTAGGGTGCGATTTTACCTTTCTCAACTCTTAAGATAGTGTGTTGGAAAAAGGAGGTCTTGGAGTCTTCTTCCTGTCTTCTCATCCATCTAAAGGTTCCGTTCAGCAAATACGTGCCTACTGTGTGTGCTGTGGATGAAATTATGTAAATAAGCACAGCTAAATATTTTTGTAAAAAGTCAAACAAATTAACGTTAGTCATCCAAGTGGAGAGACCCAAGACTGACCTTTGAAATACCAAACCCTCTACAGACTCAGGGAGCCCATGTCTACAGAATCTTCTTGGGAGGTTTTAACTTGTCTTTTCTTATCCCAAGCTGGGTGATTTGTGTGGTGCTTTGTTCCCCACATAGTTAGACTCAGGCTAGAAGGCAGCAAAGAATCATAAATACTTAAATACGGTAGTAAATGGCTGTAAAGATAGGACCCCATTATACCTCTGCACTAGCCAGTAAAGGAGAGAGGGATAATGAACTGGGGAGAATGAGTGTTTTAAGAAGGTAGGATTATCTATAAAAGCAATAGATTACCTTTTGCGTGTGTTTTCTTTGTTGAAAAACAACAACAACCCTTTTGAGGAGTCTGTGATATTGAAGGGAAAAAGTGAGGATACATTTCGTCCCCCGTAATTTAGTTATCTTCTTAGAGGAATCACCTAGGCCCTTCCCAAAGGATGAATTCCACCATTAGAATTTTAGGACCAAAGTTCTTGTTTTATTTTGCCTGCTCTCTATGGAGAGTGCCTAATTAAGGATGATTATCATGTTTTATAGATAAAATACTGTCCTTCCACTGTAGTGGTGTTAGAGGCACCGCCGTGTAACACTGTCCTTTATGAAGCATAATGTTGTAACAGAGAAAGGTGGTTTTTGCCATTGTGCTGGTAGATTTTGGCTAATCCATCTTATTTTCTTGATTTATTTTCTTGAGATTGGTGTGTCTTGAGAGGTTTTTAACTGACCCACGATTTGAATTCCGTACTGAAAAATTTCAAGAGACTATACTTACGAATTGAAAAACAAAGGGATCATTTTCTAAAATTATTTTAAAAGTGGTGATGACACTTAGCTCTTAAGAGTTGTGAGAAGAAACTGAGATAGTGTATATAAGAGCACTTTGTCAATGTAAAAATGCTTCAAATGTCCAAGTATTATTTGTATTCAGGCAGATAAGTGGGGCCCTTACCTTGGAGCAAGTTCCCAGTGAGGCCTCAGTTCAGCTGACCTTTTCTCTAGAACAAATCATACTCAAACCCAGACATTACTGGCTCTGGAACCAAGAAGCTACTTGAATATAATGAGGCTGTGGTTTGTCAGAAAAGACCATCAGTTATATGCCGTGAAATTCAGTGACACTTGAGAAGATTATTGATGATGTCATCCTCACAAGCTACAGATCTCCATTACATTTCATTTCCTTCCTGTTTCTTCTCTTCCGCCTCTGCCTTGGGGCAGTCATTGGCCCCCCTGACTTGCTTGGCTAGACTAGGAATTCCTGATTTTAGAGGTTGCTGATGCTTTTTCAGGTAAGGACAGGAAATCAAGCACAGCTAACAACTATTCTTTTCCTTCCAAGAGAGAGTTGTCAAGGGTGGGCCCCCCCAAACCTGTGATTTATTGTTGCCCCATAGGATCAGCTTTACAATCCTGTGACTGGTTCTTTAAAGCTGTCTTAAAAGGACAGATGCCAGTATAAGTGCCTTCAAGTCATAAGTAATTGATCATAATTATAGGTCCTTCCCACAGATAGTTAAGCCTCTAAGCTTGAAGGAGCATAATAAACATATTAGTTTTTTCAAAAGTTTAAGTTTTAATTTTGATGGATTTGCCAGAAAAGCTGACTTGTTATTGCTGGCACTGGCACTGCTTCCATGCATAGGGATAATGACTTGAAATTCTTGCTTACCTGTGCTTGATGTATCCCAGGCTCGGCTTCATGAGCCGTTCAGTGTCTGGGATGTAAGTTTACTCTTATTTTATAGTTGGTAATCCCAAATCCTGGAGCCTTTGCCAGAATCAGACTTTAGTATGAACCTATACTGGGACTTCTGCACTCCACAAATGAATCCTATTTTATATTCTGAACTAATTGTATATAGGTAGATAAAATAATAACATGTTTTATCAGCAATCTGTTCACTCACCAAGTATTTATTGAGGGCTTACTATGTTCCAGAGAGTGCTAAAAGCTGGCGATACAGCAGTGAACAAGTCAGGAAGTCCACACTTCTAGAACTTACCTTGTAATGAGATGAGCAGTTCTTTTTCCTCTTCAAAAATTCACTTTTCTTTATTTCCACTGTCTTATTTTGCTATATTTAACCTAACCAGTTTTATAGAGCAACTAGTATTTGTGATAATTTGGTTACCAGGAATTTGCTGATTGAATAGGTAAGATAACCAAAACACTGATCAGAATCAAATGCTTTTTGAAGATTAAATTTCACCTTAGGGACATACAAATAGATTTATATAAGACATTGACATGTAACTAATATATGTGAACATTTGAGCTCCATTTATTACGCAAGGATTTGGGAAAGACTTACTGTTTAAAAACCATGGGGCTAGGTGCTGGGAAAGATATTTGGGTAAATCATACCTGGCTCTTCCCTTCAAGTAATTCCCCCTGTGATTGAAGGAATAAGATGATCACCATAACCCTGATACATGATAGTATTGTGTCATTACAAAGATACTGCTCAGTGCTACCAGTGTTGTGCCTAGGGACTAAATTTGTTAGTGTAGCAGTAAAAGTAATTCAAATTAAAGTACTGGTTCTAGAAACTAAAACTTAATGGCATTTCAGTGAATAAGCTTGTGACATCTAAATATCTTAATTTATTATCACTAGCATATTTAATCACTGTTTAAAAAAAACTAACAAAAATCCATGCGGTTCAATGGTTACTCTTGAAGGAGAGTTCAATGATTATTATTTAGGGAGAGTTTTCCAACTTTCTCTTTTTAAAAATCTCAGTAATATATATCATAATAGGGGAATAAAAAATCTGATTTTCTCTAGGAAAACCTAATCATTAACAGGGTAGAGAAACATGACATATTATTTGATGCAGCATAAAACCAAGTCCTCAGGTGGGTTAGTTCATGGGAATCCTTCTGAATAACAGTGTTATTTTGTGGTTGGATAGTACATTTATTAGGGCTTGTTGCAGTGAAAGTGAGAGTTTAATTCTCTTTTTAAGTTTCAGTATGTTTGGTCTTTCATTCTCTAAGAGTTTGAAAAATTTCCAATTTATTAAGCTTATTTAGTAAACAAACATTTTCACAATGATATTCTGCCCATTCTTTATTCCTGCAGAAGAACTTGGTAATGCTAAATTGTTGATATTGCTCTTGTATCCTTTTTACGCAACTATTATCATGGAATTATTAGAATTTCTTTATCAAGGAGAAAATGGCTTATAAGAGGGAAACTTGTGTAAACTTGAATATCTTTTGGTATGTTTTCCTATGTTTAAGACATGAGTAAATGAATATCTGTGAAAACAGACTCCTTGTTAAAAGAAAGTCATCATTTAAAAAAATATATCTTCCTATTAATGATTCCATAGGAATGTTTTTTAAGAATGAAATATCCAATACCTATACTGTGTCATTGTAAACTCGTGGATATTACAGTTGGAAGACACTTTGGAAGTCTTTCAGCCCTTTTATGAAACTAAAGTCCAGAGGTCAACCAACATCTCTGTCACGCCGTTTAAAAATTGTTGTTCTAAAATCTGAGTAGCAATTTTTTAAAAATTCTTTTTGTCTGTTAGATGGAAGAA